GGTTGTTTTGTGTTAGGATTTGGGGTAATTAGATTTTGGCAGCCTAAAACGTCGAGGAATTTGTGGTTTTAAAGAAATTATATACTTTGATGAGATAGTTTATTAGTATCTTATCGAAGAAGCCCGCGATACGGAGGTATAAGATCTTACACGATATTTTATATAACAATACATAAACAAAATACAGGGATATATATTTATATATGCAAAATAAATATTTTATATTTTTTAGAATATTATAATAATCTATATCTATAAATTTATTCTAAATTTTTAATTTAATATACAAATTAGTATTTATATTATATAAAAAATAATATAAATTAATATATATATATATTAAAATGGTCAAATTTAATATAACATTATATAAAATTTAATTAATTTTATTATTATTCAATTTAATTATAAAAAATAAATATAATAATTAAACTAATAATAAGAATTTATATAATATATATAATATAATTATTTTAAATATTTTAAACTAATAATTTAAAATATATATATTAATGAATTTTATTTTTTAAAAAAATATTTAATTTTTATTATTTTCTTATATAAATAATTAATTTTAATTTATTATTATAAATATATGTTTTAAAAATCAATTTAGTTAGATTAAACAAATATAAATTTTAATAAGCCAAATTACATTACTAAAAAAAATATAAAATAAAAATATTATTTAAAAATTGAAATATTATATATATATTAATTAAGTAAATTAAAATATTTTTTTAATTTTAATAATTATATAAATCTTCATTTAAATTTGTTTAATAAAATATATTATATATATTATATATTTATTATTCCCAATAACGATTTATAACAAAATGAACCAAATAAAAGAATTAAGCATTAGAATTAGTAGACAAAACAAGAAAAACAAATAAGGCAAATAAAACAAAAGAAAACATAATTCAATAAGACAAAATAAAATGCAGCAATACAAAATAAACCAAAATAAAATAACACAAAATAACCAACCAGCCAGTCAAACAAATAAAGACAAACAAACAGAGGCAAGCAAATAGAGGCAAACAATCGAGGCAAGTAAACCGAAGCAAACAAACAAGCAGAAGCAAGCAAAAAAACAAGCAAGCAAAAGTAATCAGAGACAAGTAAATAAAGACAAATAAACAGAGTAAGTAATCAAAGGCAAATAAATAAAAGCAAATAGGTAAACAAACAAACAAATAAATATATCGAATCAAGAAAATAAAAATAAACAAACAAAAATACAAAAATAAAATCAAATAGATAAAGAAAGACATAAATAAAACAAACAAACCAAAAATAATATAAATAAATAAACAATAACAATCAAACAAATATAAATCAATATTAAAAAATAATAAATAACAAATGGAAATTAAAAACAAAGAAAAAAATAAAAAACAAATAAAAATAATTCATAAATCAAATAATTATTCTAAATAATAAAATTAAACATATTAAATCAATTCAATTTATATAACCAAATAATTGCATCAACGACAATACTAATAAAAACAATCAAAAAAGAAGGAAAATAAGAAAGAGAAAAAACACAACAAAATACCTATAAAGAAAGAGCAAAGATTAAGAAAACAAACAAAAAAACAATAAGAAAAAAAAGGAAAACAAACAAAAACCAAAATAGAGAAAAGAAGAAAAAAGAGAAAGAGAAAACCAAGAGAAGAAAGAGAAAAGAATAAAAACAAGAAAAAAAAAAGAGAGAAAGAAAGAGAAAGAAAAATGAAAGAAAGAGAGCAACAAAAAAAAGAGAGATAAAGAAAATAATAAAAGAAAAAAAAAGAGATAGAGAAAAAAAAAAGAGAGAGAGAGAGAGAGAGAAAAAAACAATGGTAGGATAAATTTCTATATGTTTATATATCCCAATCTATTTCTTTTTAGTGTTTGTGTTTCTCTATCTCTATCTGTCTATCTATGTCTTTCTATTTCTCGGGTTGTTTCGGTTTGCTTCTGTTTATCTCTATGTGTCCGTATCTATCCTTCGTCTCTATTTCTTTGTGTTTTTTTGTGTATCTTCGTCTATTTCCGTATGTCCACATTTATATCTGTTTCTGTCTTTATCTTTCTATCTGTCTACGCTTGTTATTATGGGTCGGTTCACAAAAAATGATACATTTCCGTTCTCTTTTTCTTTTTCTCTCTTTTTTTTTCTAGCTTTCTTTCTCTTTCTTTCTCTTTCTTTCTCTTTCTTTCTCTTTCTTTCTCTTTTCTCTCTTTTTTTCTCTCTCTCTTTCTCTCTTTTTCTTTCTTTCTCTTTTTGTCTTTCTCTTTTTGTCTTTCTCTTTCTCTTCCTGATGCCGCTTTATTGCCTATAAAATAAGAGACAGCTTGCCCAGGTCTTAATAGGGTATTAGTTGGTCTTTCTCGGGGCCGGAAGCATCCTTAAAGAATTATTACCTCTACCTCGGTTATTTTCGCTAATAAAACCTAAAAATCATATCGTCAGAAACGACCCAAAATTCGGGGAAACAAATGGCCGCGTTATGCCACGAGAATTCTAAACAAAGTTGTTAAGAACCCCCCGCAATTTCGGCAAAATCTCGAGATCTTCCGGGCCGCGTTAAAAAGCGGGAGCTTGTGACATGGAGAAAAAAATAAGATAAATATAATCGTTCGCCGCAAATAATTCGGCCGGAATACATTACAACAACTTACCAATATACGAGAAATACGACCTCGAGGTCATACCGGTTTATAGGAAAATATAAATCATCAATATATAAATTCCATTCTATAAATAAAATAATTTTATTATTAATTTCAATATATCATATTATTTCATTCTATTAATATATATTATAAATACCATTTAATATAATAAATATTTATTCTATATCAATTATACTAAATAAATCTATATATATATATAACATATTTCTCCTCCCCTCCCTATCCGCCCAAATTCATAAGTATTACTTATCATTTGTGTTTAAAACATATCAATTATAATCGTGTTATAATAATCCAAATCAAATTCATATTTCCTACCTCCTTTTACCAAATATCAACAAATAATTTTAATACCCAAAACACCAAAACAAATATACTAACAAAATACCAACAATAATAAAAATATAAAATTAATCAAAACAAAAAAACACATAAACAAACTACAAAAACCATAATATCAAAATAAAGATTAATAATATCAAAACATCAAAACAATTCAACAAACATATAATTAAAAAATAATAATAAAAAAACACAATAGATTTTTTTTTAAACACTTCAATAAAAACAACAACATAAACACAAAAACAAAAAAACAAAACAACAAAATAAAAACAAAACAAACAAATCAATAAACTAAATCGGAAATTTTAAAATAAACATATTTTTAAATATAACAATTCATAAATATATATAAAAATACAAATTCTAACCCCGTTTTCGAAATACCTAATCATATCCTGAGTTGGAGTAATATCAATTATCTAAACCTAGTATATCAATTCAGCAATCTCCGCCTTAGATGACTCTTCCCGAATTTGGATCTATATCTCCGGGCGTCCCTAGCGAGAGCACCGCCCATACTATTTCCAGCCTACGGACCTACGTCGAACTCCGCGCACAGGAAGCCCGGAAAGTCCTCACCTCTCATCCATAACGCTCCTCGCGCTGTGTGGGGTTAAAATAGACCTGGTTAAAGTCGTACATCGCTAGCGCGTAGGTGAGTCCGACTAACCTGCGATTCGAGCGCGAGGTTTACGTGCAGGTAAGTGGTGTTCGGAGGAATAAGGCCCCTAACCAACCAATCCCCAATCCCAAACACCCAGAAATTTCCAACGTACCTGCAAACATGACAAACCAAAATAGATACTCGTGGCCCAAGCCGACGATGAACGGCATGCACAAACCCCACCAATCTACCCGGGCCGATGTCTCGTTCTCCACCGAAACGAAAATAATCGGCGTGAGGACCCGGCGACTCTCATCCGAAGCCGTGACCTTGAGCCAAATGCCGCCAGCAAGTCGCTAGCGCAACGTCCCGGATAACATTTGCAACACATGGCCAATCACACATATATCATATCGTATATATATAATAAATAATATACATGTCTAAATTAGTTTGTGGCAGAGGCCATCTTCCTGTACCATCCCGGTTGACGAGTGCTCCCCTTGATTATCCCCAATTTGTTGGGAAGCCGCACCTCCATGCTATTCCAAGTGGCTGTGAGCGGGTCTCAGCCTCTTTCCCATGGTGCAAGTGAACAAGAGGGATGCTGCCCCATCTGCGAGGAGTACCCGAGTCCAGCGGCGATCCAACAAGAAACACAGACTCAAACGCACAGAGACACAAACACACAGAAACACACAAATACGCAATCCGGCAAACGCACAAACGCAAACACAAATACACACACTCACGCACAAACACCCACACAAGGTTGCAAACCTACCAGCTGCGCGACTGGTAAGAGCCAGTAAAGATGCAACTTTTTGCGCTCGGCGATCCTGCTGTGTCCGCAAGACTGGCGTGGCATTGTCAGCAAATCCTGGCCAGTGCCTTCAATACTTCACACTTCTTCATCTTCCAGCAGGAAGACATAGACTTGCCAAACCATAAGCAACTGCTTCTCACTTCCTGCCAAACTTTCAAACCGTTTGTTTTCCAAAATTTAACATTCAGGAACTCAGAGCGAGGCTGTCCTCCGATTGTCATGCTCCTCAAAACCTTTCGCCTCAAAGGCACCAGCCAGGAAGCGAAGCATGGATATACAGCTCCCGTCCCCGAACAACACCGCATGAGGAGGACATTCCCTTTGTGCAAACCGGAAGTCACGCTTTTTGACAACGGCCAGTTCACAGATGTATTCATGGATGGGAACACTGGTGTCTCCACAAATCGGGATCCGCCGGACCCTACATTTGGGCTCCTCTTCGTTTCACGTCTGACCCCAAAGCGGTCACCGATTTTGGGACACCCATTTTGGACCCTGCCCCCAATCACAACTGGGAAGACAGTCTCAGTCTTGGCGAGAACAAACGTTTTCGTAGGGCAGGGTCCAGCACACTTGACGTCCAGTGCAAATGGGATCACATTGGTGGGCCCGACGATATATGTACGATGGAATTCTCAAACGACGGCCGCATTCGCATCTAAAGCGAAAAGGATGTCACGCTCGCTCCCCCAGGAAGCTCAGCTGGTCGCTGCCGACCTTTAGGCCTCGCGTGGGTCTGAAACGAATGGAATCTTGGGATTCCAACCACCAAAGCAGTGGGTGTTCATACAACCGCCATTGTGTACCTGAGGCGTGTCATCATCTAAATTGGGTCAATCATTGTTAGACACGGACCAGGCTTTCTAATCATGCCTCACCTGAAAGTTTGCACATTTACTCATTCGGGTCCCCGATTCTGAAGGGCCCAAGGCCTGCGTGTATAGAGCACGCGTCAGGTTGGTTGGAACCCTAGGAGACCCTACCCAACAAGTCGCCCCCGTTTTGACGCATGCCCACTTTGGTTGCGTTTCGGACAATTGTTCGATGTTTATTCACTTGCTTGTTCGCTTGTCTCTTCAACAGGAAAGGGGACTACCAGTGGTTCTCCATAGCGGCTCGCCCATACCCTCTTGCAAACAATCGTACGACTAAACACAACTGTGCTAAAACACGTTTTGGTACCTGACCTTAAAACCCTCATGATTCACAGTAATCTAAAAGCCAAACCTTGGTAAGCCCAGAGGGGTTTCCTATTTGAGGCAGAGCCATGCACGTCGAAACCAGCCAATGCTTCTTGATGAATCCGAAGTGTGGCACGTCCGGATGTCTGAGGCGTGGACTTTTGGACAGCTGGAGCGACAGGCTGACAACTGCAAAGTGAAGGTGAGACTGCACGAAGAACTTCATCTTGCCAGCCTTCAAGGGCCAAAAGCCCCAGGGTGGGGCACGTGTTTGTTTCAACATGTAAACCCTCATTGTATAAACAAACCTGTTGATTTCCCTTGAAGGAGAGCTTGAAGACATTTGTGCCAGCGCAACCAGCTGATTCTGGTGTTTCCATCTTTCTTGGCGGTGGGGCTTCTCTCGAAATCAAGCACGCAAACAAGGAGTCACCGCTGGCGTTGCAACTGGGATCTGTTTTTTTCTGTTTTTTCTCGCTGGAAGGGATCTGGAGTGCGCCCGCTCTTGCGGCCTCCAGCTGACCCTTGATCTCCTCACAGGGCCTGTGGTCATTCAGGGCCGTCTCAGAGGCCTCAGCCCGACGGGGCCCAGGTTGGCTTGGCTCGTAACCCGACGTGGGTATAGCATCGTGCTTGCAACCAACCACGACCGGTGAACCACCCGCTAACACGGCAGATTCAGGCTTTCGGGGCACTACTCAAACGCGGACACCCCATGACCCCATCTCGTCCCCCTCATGGGGCCAAACAACATCTGAGCGTGAAGCAGACTGGAGGCTCGCGTGCAGCGAGTCTGGTCCTGGAAATAGTAGGAGGCTCAGTGCACTGCCACAAATTAGCTCGATATCTCGTTTTGGACTCGTTTTCCTTAAAATCGCCGCGAATCCAAAGATCTCGTTTTGCAGCGCCAAAGCCTGGGCCAAGTGCTGAAGCCGTTCTGCACAGATTCACATTGAAGGTTTGACTGAGAACTGGGTCCATTTAACTGACATCCTCCCAATGGCGGCTTGAAGGGAAATCGCCACAAAAAGTAATTTCGAATATCCCTGAAAGTGCCCACTTGAAGGGATCGCTTCAGGAAATACGTGTGCTTTTGGTTGCTCCGGCCGACGCATGACAGCTGGAAGCCTGTGTGGCCGAAAAGGGTGCCTTGTCTTGGTTTGAGAGGCAAAACCGGCCCCAAAGGATGAACCGTCCCGCTGGACAGGAATGAATGGGTCATGGGTATGTGTCAAAAGGGGGCGGACACTCAAACGGTTTTCCTTCTGGGTCCAACCCCAAAAGCCCAGTGGATCTGCCAATTGGCAAAGACATGAAAGAAGAAATGGATCCCCGAGTAAAGGAGCTACATTGTAACAAAGGGACCGAGCTAAATTCTTCAAATTGCCTGTGCCCTTCCAAGCAAGACCGCGATGCAACCAACTCTGACTTGAGCCATCGTCTCATTGTTCGACGAGGACACGCCAGATTCAAAACACCAAAAAAAAAACCTTCGAAGTCGGCGGCGTCCTTTCAATTTCCCTTCAAATTGGGGCTGAGCTCCTGAAAGTCCCGTGAGCTCGAATCCGTTGATGGAGACGGCGTGCAGAAAGGTCACTGTGATGTAGGTGGCATCCTCCTCCATCTCCTCGGTGCGATCTGCGAGCTCTACACCTGATATAAGAAATGGGTGTCTATTTTGTGGGTACCCGTTTGTCGCTTTAAAGGGACACCAAAAAAAGGCTTTCGGCGGTCACCCCCAAAAAAGACACAAGAGCAAAACCTGCATTCCGAGCTCGATGATCGACTCACAGGTGAGCTTGCCACAAAATGGGCATATACAAAAAGCTCACCTAGAAAGGACATGTTTAATATAATCCCATGTCTGTTTGACCTCAAAACAAACACCCGCCCAAGAAAGGTCGCCAGGTTTACTCATCCAAGTTCAACACCTGCTGTGTTGAAGCTACACAAAGGCACGGCCAGCAGTTTCATGAGGCCTGGGTGCATTTGTTCCCGAAGATACTTACAGGTTCAAGAGCGAAGGTGCTAAGGTGTGCCTGTATATTTTCTTCCTGTCCATTCACCTGTCTATTCGAGCTTCCGTCCACAGCCTTTCTGGCTGCTTGAGAGTAGAAAGAATCCCCTTTCTTTCTCGAGATTGGCCGTTGCCACTGTGTGGTCAAAACGTCTTATGCAGCCTGTCTGTCGTGGCTCCCCTAAAAGGAATCTAAGGATCAACGACACACGACCCAACATGAGCAAGCCCTCCATAAGAAACCTCTCGATGGTCCTCTCAAAGCCTGGACAGAAGACGAGGCCCAAAATCCGGGGAACACCAAATATCATATTTTCATATATTTTCAGCATATCTAGCCTACCCTGCACTCGGCGGCGAAAGTCAGTGCACGACAGCTTACACAAGCGAACCTGCATGAGACGCAAGCGCGTGCAAAACTTGCCAAATCCCACTGTGACGCAGTATGTCAAGATGTCCGTTTTTCAGCACTAATTTGGACGCGCGATGTGTAAATCCCACTGTGACGCAGTATGTCAAGATGTCCGTTTTTAAGCACTAATTTGGACGTACGATGCGTAAATCCCAATGGGACGCAATAGCATGCACAGCTCGGAAAAGTTTCAAGTTGGAGCACTGGAAGCAACAAATCCCAATGGGACGCACTACTGTAGGAAACAGGTAGTAAAAGCATCATGCCGAATATCCCCATGGAACGCCGCATGGCATGTGGATATCAAAGCAAAAGGGTGCCAGGCGAAGCAAAGGGTGCCTGCTTCTCACTGCTGCCACGCTCCCTGAAGACACCAAGTGCGTTTCTCTTCACGTGACACAAGCCAGCAAAATTAACGAGGTCAAAACGAGGTCTTAACGAGGTCTAAACGAGGCCCGAGCAAGGTCCAGAGACTGGGGCCAAGCACAAAACGCGTGCATCATACACACCAGACCCTTGGGGTGGGGGGGGAGGCGGTGTAACGCCAAGCTCAAAACCAGCACTCTCCAAGAACACTGCCTCCAGTCCGCTTGCAAAGTTCGCTCAAATCCCAATGATATGACAACAAGAAGTCTGCTCAGACAAAATCTTGCCGCATGGAATTCGAGTTCAACGGTAACCATGCAAATGTAAACCCCCACCAGGACGCAAGCCGCACCGACTTCCTGAATCAGTACCCTGCATGGCACACGAAGTTGGACGCAAACGCACCGACTTTCACCGGAGATTGTAACCTATACATTTATTTGGGAGGAGACCCGAGAAACCTGGGTCCGCCTTTTTGCTCCTTAGAGTAGACCCATATTGCCCTCTCGCATTGCAACCTTGTCAGGTCGGCTTCCCTCCCGACCCGCACACAAGCTCCGTTGCAACACCTCCAAAACACGGCTTTCCTTTGAACCCCTGGCTTGCCCTTCACCCCTCTCAAAGTCAATTTCCCTTTCCGCCCCTCAAATGTCGGTATGCCTTCAAACACCTCCCAAAAAAGGTTTACATTTGCACTCCTCCAAAAAACTTGGTTTCCCAATGGCAATCTCCTCATTTGCTGCCTAACACCCAGCTGCTCATTCTCCAGTCCACTCCCTCCCGGACTACACTCCCGATACACCCTCGACCAGGCGCCATGTGCCAGCTCTTCACTGAAGCGTCCAAGTGCCTTGGATGCAACGGCGTGCAACAAATCACAGTTGGCAGGCAAGTAATCTGGGAACCCAACAATCATGAGTTGTAGAGGAAAATCGGCTCCGTGAGGAACTCGTCATTGTCAAAAACGTCGGAAGATCAACCAAAGAGTACCCAAAAAACACCAAAGATAAAACGACACTGCACCACAAGAAGTACAACGTCCTGAAACTCAGGGAGTGAGTCTTAGTGTCACATAAACTTGCCCTACCCAATTTTGCACATTGCCCCCAACGGCCCACGCCTGGGGGCGGGGGTCGAAGGACATCCTTTTGGTGTTCCTTCGGGGACCAGGGTCGAGGTCGGGCCAATTCTGGGCTCCCCTGGATACAGGTGGGGTGCCTGGGCTTTGTCCCATGCTATTTTTGTCCCAAAAGCTGAAGTCAGAATCGGATCCCCAAATAATGGACATCTCTTTCACATGAGCTCGTTTTACCAGAGCTTGCATTTTTATCATCACTGTTGGAGGGGAAACACCCCTCACCCCCCTATCAATGAACAGGTTGATTGCGGGGTCTACATGTCACAACGTAGCTGCCAATTTTACTCTTCTCTTCCTCAAGCTGAATTCGGACTCGGATCCCCAAAACACCTTTCTATATCATGAGCTCGTTTTATTTTCCCAGGCGAGCTGAACACGTTTTTCAGGCAGACCACCTGAGCAGACACCTGAGCAAGCACCTTGAGTTTGAAGACGAGATCTCTGGAATCTCTGGAAGCAAGGCGCTGCAGCTTCAGGCGCTGCTTCACCAGGCACAAGCGCGCCACAAGGCCCGCAGCCAGGCGCCCGCTCGGCAAGCGGGCCTCCACCTGAAGAAGCCGCTCGGCAACTTGGACTGGGAAATGGGAGAAAAGGGCAGAGGAAAAGCCCTCCAAAATTTCAGGCGATTGTTAAGGATAGCTTAAAGTTCCAAGTAACCTTCAATCGCAGATGTTCTGTACAGGTGCAATTCTTGCTACAGCGACCGCCGGTGCCTTTTTTGGGGCTTGGTTGGTTTAAAGTGGACCTCACATGCTTTTCCTTTTGTCTGTTTTCTGGGTGCCCTTTTTTGGGATTGGTTGGAAGGCGAAAAGGAATGGATTCTGCCTTTCAGAGGGGAATGCCTACTGAATGCCTCACCATGGGCGGTTTCCCTGTGGCTTCCTTCGGACGAAAGGGAACAGATTGGCATGACCTTGGTGAAATTCATCTGCATGGGACTTGGGGGGATGGGGGGTGGGGGGGTGAGTGGGGGGGTGGGGTGGTGCCCAACTAGTTGCATCGGTCCGTTGGGCCCATGAAAAGACCCACCCACCTCCCAGTAAACGTGAATTGAACATCGGATTCTTTGCGAACAGCCCTATGAAGGGAATCCCCATGGGAGGACTGGGGTGGTTCACAAGTTGAAGGGTCCTTGCAGATTTGCAAGTGTACAAAGGTCCAAGCACGACAGGGCCTGTAGGGACAATTCAATCAGTTCTGAAGCCCACCCAAGGCGATGAACCCTCTTTGTCTTGCCCTCTGGAGTGCCGGACAAATATTTCTTCGAAATCCGCTTCATAATTCGCCTTCACAATCCTGTTCTGTTCTTGTGCAAACGGCGTCTGACGCTCGGAAAACTACTCCTTGGCCGGGATTCTGGCGCTGAATGCGGGGGGGTGGGGGGGGGAGCCCAGCCTCGAGATCTTGACCACACGCGCGCAGAGGCAACACGAGCGTGCCCACCTGCAGCAGATGATCCTGGCGCCCGGCGACCCTTCCACATGCCATTGAACATGTGTGCAGGTTTCCTGGTGATCGCAAACTTGCCTCTCGTCCAAAAGCTGTAGCCAGCAATGTTAAGTTTTGATTGTTTGAGTTAGATGCAGACATTGCTATTTGGTCCGGTGCATGTTCCGAGTTCAGGTACCGCTTTTTGGAGTCAATAGGCTCCCGGGATTGAGCTGTTTGACGTTGATTGTGCGGTGTCCTATTTTAGACGAGGTGGTCCCGGAGTCCCTGTCCCCAATGTTCCTTCCCAAGTCTGGCCCATCTACTTGACTAGTCATCCGAGCCATTCCATGCAACTGCCTGGTTGGTTAACTGATTATCGAACAAAACCGGCTCTGCATCTGCAAAATTCTGCAAATAAGCAGCTTCCTCTGCGCGGTTGCTCAAATCAAATCACCCTCAGCGTCATGTTGATTAAGTCATTGCGGATGGTGTACTTGCGACTGCCTGAAAATCGATTGTTGCCTGTATTTGTTGATGTGCTTTTTGTGGGGAAACATGCGTACGTCTCCTGCGCTTCTTTGGAAGGTTTCAGGCGAGATCCTCAGCATCCTTCGACCATTTCTCAGGCTCCAGGCGCTTGGCAGCGCGCGCGTGTGCGTGTGTGTGTGTGTGTGTTGTGTGTGGTGTGGTGTTGCGTTGCGTTGCGTTGCGTTGTGTTGTGTTGTTTTGTGTTGTGTTGTGTTGTGTTGTGTTGTGTGTGCGTGTGGGTGCGTGTGGGTGCGTGTGGGTGCGTGTGTGTGTGTGTGTGTGTGTGTGTGTGTGTGTGTGTGTGGGTGTGTGGGTGTGTGTGTGTGTGTGGGTGTGTGATTTTCTTATTCGACACATTGCATGGATATCAGCTGGCTCAGAGCCTGAGACAACCATCCTTTTCATGACGTCTCCGTGGCCTCCTAACTCAGAATCCTGCTTATACAGTATGTTTCATTTACCCACCAAGGGTTACCACTGGAATTAGACCGTGAAAGGATGTGGACTGGCATCTCCCAATACATATGGGGTGGGGATGGGGCCCTGATCCAGACCCATGTAAAACATGAGGCGGTCTAAACAACAGTGTAAACATGTTGAATCGCCCAACGGCTTCCAACCACCAGCAAGACCAGCAGAAAAATGGCTTCCATTATCCCCAAACCAACCCCAGCCCTTGAAGCCGTGTTATTTGTTATGCAACCTTGGGGGCAGTGGTTTGGGTGTATCTGTTCTTAGGGGACCCCCCCAAATTGGTGGGTGTTCCTTTTGGTGTCCCATGTGTCCCTTCAAACCACCCGTTTGGAGGCCCCGAGTCCAAACCCATGGCCTCAGGCTGCAGCTTCACGGCCGACTTCACGCGGAAGGGCTGGCGCCGCTGCCGCGCCACGTGCTGCCAAGATACCTCCAGGAGCGCTTGCTCCTGGCGACTGTTGGGCCAACGGCTCTACACGTCGACTCCTAAATTGGCTGGCTTCAAATACAAAATCTATTTTGGGAAACTCCCCAGCCCAAAACTGGGTGTAACCATTTTTGCTTTGGGGGGCTTTTGGGGCTGGCTTAGGGACAAGTGGTTGTGTGTGTGTGTGTGTGTGTGCTGTGTTCAAGGTGCGCCGTGTCGAGTTGGTTTTAGAGCGAGACCACAAGGAAGGCAGTCATTTTTTGCCCCCCCCCCTGCAAAGCCCATGTGTGCGGAAAAAAAAGAACAACTGAGGACAAGACACAGACATTTGGTCGTTGTTCAGAAACAAATATTGTTGTTCTTCCGCCTTTGTTCCGGGTTTGTCCGCCTTTGTTTGGCCGTCCCAGATCCACTCTGCCCACGAAACTTCAACAAAGGTCGAAACTTGGAAAAGTGCCGTTTCACCCACAAAACAGTTTTTCTCGAAAGACTGAATAAAGACACACAAACGGCTTCAGGGGGTGCCTGTAGATTTTGAGACCCCCCCCCATCTTTGTTTGAGAGAACTTGTTTCACATGGGCTTGAGGGAACCAGAGCAAGAGCTTCAGGGAACCAGAGCAAGAAAACACAAACACTTTGTGTGGCTCCCCATTGTCACACATATCAAACCCATTGTGCCGCTGTTGTGGGGAGCCCGCCGTTTGGGAAAACAGGAGACTTGAAGGACACTTGCTGGGGCTTGAGTAAGGAATGAAATGTAAACAGTCCATTGTAGTTTTAAGATCACATAAGATAGGGCTGCACCACAAGAAATCCACCTATGCGGAGGGGCCGAACTTACAACCCAAAATCGGGCCTTGCCCACTAGGCTCGGGCAAAGGCTTAGGCCACTTAAGGGGACCCAAAAGGCTGCCCTTCTGATCCCACTTAAGAGACATCCCCGTTTATGGCTGATTGCATGGATGTATAATATGGACCCCATGGCATTTGGGGCAATTTTGGCGGTTGGCCTGCCATACTTCCATAAACAACGATTAACATTGTCTAAAAAAACTAGGCATTTCTTCCGATGGCTGGTTCCCAGCCTGCATGACATCCTGGTTCTTCTTCCGCATCTCCTGCTCAGGTTGCACAAGCGGCCCACCGGCCCTTTTTGGGAAAGAAGCCAACTGGCGGTTGTGTGGACAATTTGGGGGTTTAAAGGATGGCTTGAACATGTGGAAACGGCCACACTCATCGTTGTTTTCTTTTGCTGGTTTAAAGGCGAACCAAAGCCGACCGTTTGCACTATTGTTTGTCAAAATGGGATGGTTGGTTTGCTTTTGGTTTCCCTTTGAAAAGCACAAACCATACCAAACACATGGGCCCCCTGTGACAGTTTCAACTAGAATCCCTGCCATTGTCCTGGTTGAGGCACATGGTCGGCAGCAGCAGCCGCCCCAATGGGACCAACAGAAGCAGCCGCGAGACTTGTAAGGCCACCGTCAGATCCTCCTCGAAGGACCACTCACATCACTTCGCAACTATGCCAAGACAATTTTACTCAACGATGGCTTGACGCATCTCAGAGTCGACTCACACGCTCACGACTCACAATTGATGCTCTCGCGAAATCAGTCGAAGCTTACCCATTTGTGATGGTTCTATCCTATAAATGAATTTGCAACGGGTTCCTTTCGGAATCTACAGTGCACTAATACTCCCTTGACGCAAGCGATCGGAACCCGTTTGTTCGAGCCCCTTTAGAGTCCCCTGACTCATCTCCAGCTTCCGGCGCAAACAAACAAATACATCCCTCGGAGAGGCGCCATCGACAAACAAGACGCCTGCTGAGGGCCTTTCTCATAGCTGAAAACCGCCGATTGGTCTTTTACGTTGAAGTGTTCCTTTGAAATCTGGGCGTTTCCCAACACGGGGAACAATAATCGTTTTCGTTGGTCTATCTTTGCACCCAAAAACTGCACATGGGGCTCCCCAAGTCCATTCCGCCATTAGGCTTGACCCTCGAATGCTACAGAATGGCCCTTTGGTGCAAGCGATTGGAATCCGGTGACTGTCCAAAGTTCCGGAGCCCTTCGGATGGAGTGGGAGCTCCAAACAATCTCCAAACAAGTATCCACAAATTTTGGAGTTGATGAAGTTGAGACCCACTTTTTTTTGTAGTTGGATAAAGTTGGACGAACTGGGTGTTTCCATGGCATGGCAACTGCCACCATAAACCCGTTGGCATCGTGACCCTCAAAAGGCGGGTACTCCAAAGGGGGCGACCTCGGCTTGTCGTGTCGTGTTTCCCTCTTTGGCGCGTCCTGGCCCAGCTTCAGATGGGTCTCGGAGAGCATGAGCATCAGAAAGGCCAAGCTCAGGGCGGCAAGGCCGTAGGTCAGGGTGGCACCCTCCGAAGGTCGGGAGAAGGGCTGCAGCAACAAGCTCAGGCACCTCAGCTCCAGTTCGATCAAAGTTCAAACGATCATCGTTCAAAATTCAAACCCTTCGCTATGAGTCTCACGCCCCCAAATCTCAATGTTGAAGTGTTCTACACGCATGAGGGCCGTGGACAGAACAAATCAAACCCCAACCACACACACTCAATGCTGAGACTTCAACATTCAGGTCTGGGTCGCGGGGTGCAAAAAGACTGCTTGGGATTAATAGTTTGTGTTGTTTGAAGGAGACCCAAGAAGACTTGGAAGCAACTCAAAATTGCTTCATGTCTTTTCCCCCAACTGTGGCATGACCCGGAAAATGTTTCCACTCAATCTTAATCGCCCATCGGACATGATGTGCATATCATATCCACTATTTATCCGGCGTAACTTCCTTGTGGGTTCGCTTGAAAACTTAGACTTGAACCAATCCCTAAAAAGGGTATCCTCACAAACGCGCACCCCCCGCTGGGCACTCAGTCTCCGCTCGACTAAGGGAACACATCACAACGTGTTACCTAAGATTAGAGACGCCACAAAGGAAACAGAGCATTAGTCACTAGGGATCCCCTGTTTTCAAAAACACTCAAGGTCGGAGATCAAAACCAGGAAGTTTTTGGTGGGATGGAGGTGGCCGGCGTCAAGCAGGAAAGCAGTCTCGGGAAAAAACAAACGCTGCAAGGGGGAGCTTGAAATGATTGTGTTTTTGTGATCTTTCCATCGCGCATGATTACTTAACATGGTAAAGCACAAACACCAGAAGAAAGCTTTCCTTCTCCCTATTTTTGTGAAACACTCAAACGGAAATCCGCCACGATGGGTGCCTGCTGGCACACAATCGAAATGATACGTAGGTCACCCTGTCCTGATTTCCAAGGGTACTGGGTGCATTGATGGTGTATCAACCAGTATCTTGCAAGGAGCAGGCCAACAGGATGTTGAAATGCCCCAAACGCGAAGCAAGTATGCGAATCAGACGTAGGTCACCATTTCCGAGGTGTGCCGAACGAATCAATCCAGCACACATTAACAAAAACACGCAATCCATAATCCAGCACAAAAACACACACACAAAACAAACACACACACACACACACAACACAAACACAAACACAAACACACGCACACGCACACGCGCACGCACACGCACACGCACACGCACACGCACACGCACACACACAGCACAGCACAGCACAGCACAGCACAGCACAGCACAGCACAGCACAGCACAGCACAGCACAGCACAGCACAGCACAGCACAGCACAGCACAGCACAGCACAGCACAGCACAGCACAGCACAGCACAACACAACACAACACAACACAACACAACACAACACACACACAACACAACACAACACACACACACACACACAACACACACACAGCACACACACACAACACACACACACACCACACACACACACACACACACACACACACACACACACACACACACACACCACACACACACACACACCACACACACCACACACACCACACACACCACACACACCACACACACCACACACACCACACACACCACACACACCACACACACCACACACACCACACACACCACACACACCACACACACACACACACACACACACACACACACACACACACCACACACACCACACACACCACACACACACACACACACACACCACACACACCACACACACCACACACACCACACACACACACACACACACACACACACACACACCACACACACCACACACACCACACACACCACACACACCACACACACCACACACACCACACACACCACACACACCACACACACCACACACACCACACACACCACACACACCACACACACCACACACACCACACACACACACACACACACACCACACACACCACACACACCACACACACCACACACACCACACACACCACACACACCACACACACCACACACACCACACACACCACACACACCACACACACACACACACACACACACACACACACACACGCCTTAACTGTTTGACACTCTCGAAACACGAAGCCTTGCGTTGCCAGCCATGCTTTCTGAGGCGCATGATGCAGCAAATGAAGCTCCCCACGGCTCCCTGCGCTTGGTGTCCAGGCAGATACGGGACGTAGGTCACCAACACAAAACCTGCGGCAGTTTGAGCCAGAGCTGTTTGGACTCCTCCATTTGCTCTTCAGGCCACCGAAAAAATATATACTTCCGGCAGTGACAGATTCCCCTTCAAAACCCAAAGGTGAACATGAAACGAGGTCTTATGCAAACGGAAGAAGAACTCATTTCTCAAGTAGATTGGCCGAAGTTCATGCTTTCCGTCCACTGAAATGGTCCCGAACAAATCTCAAGTCCAGGAACTTAGAAAGTGAGACCTCTTCAGCATCAACTGAAAGCAACCTTTGAGGACCTGCCGTTGAAACGGCCCTGTTCGGTTCCCCTTTTGCGGGGTGTCAGGGGCTGGTTGCGTCAACCAATTGGGCCAAGCCCTGCAACATTGCGAGTGGTATCCGGATTTTAACACGGGACAAATAGCAACTCATAACTCGCAACTCAAACCACTTTCCCGCTTGCACAAGGATGGTATTTGAACTGCCCAGTATGCAAAGAAAACCCTTGGAAGGAAACTGTCAACATTGGGATTGATTTCTTCGAAAAGCAGCGACGCCTACAAAATGGTTGGTGTCCTTGGTTTGCATGGCTCCGATTTTGAGTGGCACGCCAGAAGCAAAACCACTTCAGTCACAATGCAGGCCTGGTACTAAGGATATACCCAAACCAACATACAGGATTCAAAGGGCAAGCCAGCCTATTTATGGTTGGGACTATTCTCCCTCCCACAAACATGGTACCTGACAAAGGGTCCTCGCACAGGCGCTCTGTTTGTGGGAGGAAGGGTATCCCTCTCGTGTTTTGATTGCTGGTTCTTGTCCAAAGGGGACCCGTATTCGTTTTGGCGCCCAATTGATTGGCAGAATTTCTCCGGAATTTCAATAAATGGGTTTAGAACGCTACACACCTGATCCCTTGGTGCATGGAGCCCGTTTATTCGAAACCGCGGGCTCTGCGAGTAAGAATTCACCAAGCAGAGGGTGAAAATCAGTCGCACTTCCCGCTCCCTGCGAGGTCGAACTATGCCTTGCTCAAATGGCTGTTTCAAAGAACGGGAATTGGAGCCCTTGAGTGCTGAAACCAAACCAAGTCCAAAACTTGTTGTGCCATTAAAACGCCAAAAAATATTATTATTGAAAGTCCAGAAACTATGGAAGAGAGCCTATGTTGCGGCAAACCTAAAAACGTTAAGCTTCAGGTCGAACATGACCAGCTCCCGCCTACTTTCAGCAGCAGTACAAAGTGGAAGCAGTCCGGGGAGAACTTCCCGAAGATGTCGATGCCCCGAAGAGTGCCCTCCTGAACGAGCGGAGTTTCGCACGTTTCCCCCTCGGCAAACTTTGCAAGATATGTCCCAAAAGAACGTGCGGATTCGGGTTTTTGAGCACTGAGAGCTCGACTTTTAGGGAAGCTTACAATTTGTTCCTTAGCTGAACTAAGAATCGGATCCCCAGGTCAAAGAAATCTTGACCAGGAGCTCGGTTTACTTTCTGGCGAGCATTTACACTTGGGTAAACGTGGATGGCGCCATCCCCCCCATGTTGGGGATGCCGTACCATCAAGGGACTTGTGCCGTCTGCATTGCTACATTCACACTAGGTGTATGTTAAGATGGCTTCTTTTTTTGTTCCCCAACAGCTGAAAGCTTTGGGGTCTCAGCCCAGATAGGCTCCGGGGTGGTCCGGGGCGGCCCGGAGGTCAGGTTCCACGAGGGTTCCACCAGGTTTCGACCAGGGTTCCATCAGGGTTCCACGAGGTTCTAGGGTGAGCTTAGTGTTTGTTTTGGTTAATTTTCAAATGACCCCTCGGCACGTCAAGCGGAGGGCAAATCTCGAGTGGGTCCTGGTTGGCCCTCTCGTAGCTCAGCAGCAAGCAGCGCACCGCCAGGGATTGGAACTTCATGCTGCTCCTCCAAAGCTCCGGAGGGTCAGGCATGAGTCGTACTCCAAGAGTCTAATGGGTCAAGCGCAATGGTCTACCCAGGCTAAGTAGTGAAAACCTTAAGTCGCAAACCGCATACCCAACAATTATGCTAATAATTAGTGGAGCGGATATCCAAACCTATATCGGGATGGAAGTCCCCTACCACTCCTCCTCCTCCTATTACCCGGATACTGATGGTAGCTCCCCTGCGGAAAACGAAAAACAAGCGCCCTTGAACACAGGCGCATGCTAGGGGACCAATGGCTTCAAGGGCCCCCGTATCCTCGACCAAGACAAAAACCTTGCATGGAACCCTTGATGCATCACTGGGGTGTGAATCACTTGGCTTTACAGAGTCATCTTGTGTGTGTGTGGGTGGCTGTGTTTTCGAGCTGCTTTCTACATTGTTTGGGATGGCTGACTTGTGCTGAGGAACCCGAAGCCCATTTTGGGAGCTTCTCTATTTGGAGGCAAAACCAAGCCCATTCGGTTGGCTCCGGTTGAACAAACAATCAACCCTCAAGTTGCCTTCCAAGGGAATTATTCTACTCTTGCTTGTTCCAAATTGAAGTCTGCTCGCCATTGGTTGACAGGTTGGCTAGTCCTAATCCAGGGTCATTTTCATAAACCCCTGAAACTCTGTGGTATGGGCACTTATCCAAATGATGGCTTGACTTCGGGGCTTTCCAGCGCCAAAAAATGTAATTCCACTGGACCATCGGGCATGCGCTGCTTTGCCCGCACCCAAAATGAAACAGTTCTCTTTCTGCGATTCCCTTGAGACAGGACAAGTGACCCGCCCCCTCATCCTGAATATGAACCAAATCACGCGCTCAGAACAAACGTTCTTTTTTGGGCATTTAAGTTCAAAAGGCTTGAACCACCGTTCTTTCAAAAACCAGCTGCTTCCCCCTTGTTTCTCTGGGTGATTTTCCTGAATGACTGGACAGGATGGGGAAGTGACTCCTGGGCAAGTAGGCCAAGTAGGCACCACAGCGACCCTCGGAAAAGCGTGGGGGTGTACCGTTTCTGGAGACCCACCAATGAAGGGATTCAGAGGTGGCATCAAAACAATCGGCTATGGATGGGTTTGTTCTACGGGACATCCCCCCCAAAAACAACAAAACAAAACAAAACAAAACAAAACAAAACAAAACAAAACAAAACAAGCACGCACGCACGCACGCACGCAAGCAAGCAAGCAAGCAAGCAAGCAAGCAAGCAAGCAAGCAAGCAAGAAACACACACACACATACCTAATTAAAATGTTGTTGCTTGCATCAAGGCCAAAAAGGAGAATCCCCAAACTCGGCCCAATTCGACGTTGCTCCGAGAACATGTTCAGATTCTGTTTCATATTCAGTCTACCCACACATAGATTTGGAGCAAACTCCAAACAATCACCCCCCTGATCCCTCCCCCCCTCCCCCCCCCCTCCCCCCCCTCCCCCGCCTCCCCACCCCGCAAACAACAAGTTGAGCCCATCCTCACGTGCTTGCCCTGGGCTTTCTGAAGCGTGCTGAGGGCCGTCACCAGCTCCTCCGAGCCAAACCCTTGTTTAAAACCATGCCCAGCGATTCCATTCCCTGGTTTTGTTAATCACCAATGGAACCATCAAGACAAACCAATGTGGACACAAACATCACCATCTAAACTTCAATACCTAAGCTGGTTTGCCTGGGATCCACATGACTTTAGCCATAAGGGTGGACAAGCCCTCCTACATAAATGGAATGGTTCACACTGGCTATTGCTTCAATGACCTCCTTTTTTGGCCTCCCTTTTTAACCGGTGCCAGGTGTCCGGTGTCTGCGATACCAAGCGATACCAACATGGGCCATTCCCACAACTGTTTGGTAACTTTGAAGGGGCACACCCTTGGTATCACAGAAAGAAGCAACCAAAAGCATATGTTCGACAACAATGCCCCGTGCCGCAGAAACACATGAAGCTTAAACACGGTACCAACTCCAAAAAACACGCACACCCGTATTTGAGGTGCATCCCAGGACTATCATATCACTAAGCATTGTCATCACAGAAAGTGGCGGCCCTGATTCTTCATGGTGGCTTCGATGCATTAGGGAGTGCCTTTGTAGGGCAGGCTTTTTGGGTTGGTTTCAAGGGAAAGCAATGGAAAACGAGCTGCTTTGGGGTTCTATAGCTGGAGACACGAACACAAGTCTTCGTTTGCTGAAGCCTTAGTCGGGAAACCACCCACGATCGATTTTGCTGCCCAGTTGGAGACAATTTGGAAAACCAGCCAATTTCGGAAACCACATGGAAACCAACGAACAAAACAATTGCCAAAGGAACACTTTGCAAAACAAAGGCAACACCAAAGGACAACCAAAGAGAAACCCAAGGACAAACTAAGAATAGTTATTTATGATTGCTGTATTTTTTTTAAGGAAAAATAAGTCAACCATCAATGTTTGCGGGTTTCCACAGTTTGAGACCCATTTTCCGCCAACTGCTGCTCCTCCGCCCCCAGCTGCTCCGAGCTGAACCGCACCACCCGCTCGTCCTTCGGCGAGTCCTCCGTGGACCCCCCCCCCAAACCGCTGGAAACTCACGACGAGGGCGTCGCTTTTTGTTGGGAACCGATTTTAGGATGAAAGGAATGGGTGGGAACCCATCAGGATGTTTTTTTTGTTGGGAACCCATTTTAGGGTGGGTTGAAAGGAAACCAAAAGGAATGGGCACCGTTTTGACGCATACCCACAACCCAACGGCACAAATTCCGAAAAGTCCGCACCCAAGGTTTTACCCTTCGAAAGGGAAACAACAAACTCAACTCCAGAGGGGTGGCTTCCCTTGAAACTCAAAGCCAAACAACAACGAGAATTGAGCGACTCCTCATTGTTTTGACAATCCGTCTCAGGATTTGTGTGCGCTTCCGGAAAGCGGGATCTCTGGAAACGGGACGTCCGCCCCAGAACAAAACCGCCACTAAAGTGACATCCTCAAAATTACGCTCTAAATGCTGGTTTACATAGAAACCACCGGAACCCCAGAGCAATTTTGCGAACCCCTCAACAAAAAGACCCAGCAAAAGGGTTCTGGAAACCAGGAACGGGCTCGGAATTGGGCGGTGACCGCAAGAACACAAAGGGAACTCAAAAACACATTCGCCCAAGAGGTCGGCTTCCCTTCCGAACAAGGTTGAGGTGTTTTTTTACTTGCCCCAGCCTTTTACTAGCCCGGGCTGAGCATACTTGAAGTAGGCCTCTCCTCATGTGGGGTCTCATTTGAATGTTGGTAGTTGCTCGGGGCTGGATTCAACTCTCAACTGCCACCAAATCAAAGCCAACATACAACAAACCAGCCAGCCAACCTTCCAACCAACCACCACCAAATCACGGCCACCCTGAGCAACTTTCAACTGCCACCGGATACGCAGTCCTAACACCAAGTAACTGGGGATGCTGCCCTCGGAAAGCTGCCCTGGGGATGCAGCCTGCCTACCCACTAAGCAAGCAAACAAGCGACCGGCCAAACAACTTGCCACCTCACTAAAATTCAGCATTTGTTATCGTTTTTCCCCCTTTTTTTTTGGGGGGGGGGGGAGTCTCCTCCCTTTGACACACGCCCAACGGGGAGCGCCAGCCATCTCCTCCGAGGAGATCCACACGGTCACCATGGGCCAAGTTGTACTTAGCACCTGCTGCGCCCGCACCTCGCGAGAAGGAATTTGCCCACGGCTGGCTTAGGGCGGTGGCGGTTCAAAGAGGCACCCGCCTCGGCGGAAGGGCACCAGGCTTGAGCCCCCTTGCTTAAATGCAGGGCTGGATTTGACCACTGTGATACACCAACAAGACCCTCCCAAAGACTGAACCCCCCCGGCAAAAAAAAGAGGAGGGGATTTCCTGATATCGCAGAAGTGGGGATAAACCATAAACCCCTTGATCCCACATCCTGGTTTAAAGGCAAGTTGAGAAAAGACACGTGAACACGATGTGATTTCTTTTGCAAAAGGAAAAACCAACCAAAGAAATAACCATGTCCAGTTCGGACAATGGGTGTGAATCAAAAAAGGGAACGGACCCCATCCAAATGGTTGGCTTCCTTGCGGCTTCCCTTTCAACACCCTGCTTCTCCGCTTCTCTTTGTTGCGGGGGGGCACCCCCTTTTCGGGGTTGAAAGAAACCATCCATTTTGGCGCTTTCAAGTCGCACTTAGTAGGCGTTTCCCTTTGGTGCGCAAACCGTGGCACAGCCCCATCACAAAATTGCATTCTCAAAAAGAGTATCCCCAAACAATCGTATCCAACATCTGCAAATGTTGCACCAATTCCGAAAGCAGAAAGGATCCCTTAGAAAAGGACCTGCAGTGCCTGCAGCGCGGGTTTTCGCTCGGTTTACACCCGAATCGGTGAGCTTGCCGTAACATTCAGGGCATCCTCCAAAGGCTATGCCCCCCCGCAAAAAAAGAAGAAGCCAAAAGTGTGTCCGCCTCAAAAAGGGTATCTCCCCCAAACAGAAGATCTAAAAACCTACTATGTCCTTACGGAACTCTTGGTATCTCCCTTGCTTCCTCTCCAAAGAGAAACATGGATACATCCGGCTCCTTGGCTCCATCTAAACTAGAAAGAGCAGCCTCCGTCACACGTCGCAACCGGATCAATTTCCTCTTGGAGGGCACTGCCAGGTTCCATGTAAGGATCCCGCCTGTGCTGCATCCAGCAGCGCAGACCGCACCGTGGGGTCGGTGTAGCCAGGGCCCTCGCTGGATAGTGACACCTTGAAAGCCCCGGTCTCCATGCTCTGGTACTTCACCGTGGGCACGTGCCACCTTTCTTGGTGAAAAAGAAAGGAACAACATGGAACAGCACTTGGCCATAAAATGTCTGTTTCTACTTTATAGTTAGGCTACCCTTTCTGGGAACAAGTAAATCAAGCAACCCAGAAAACTGGTGGTTCGGATTCGGATTTCTTCTTGTGGGTCAGCGGGAAACCACCCAGGAAAACCTCCAAACCACCAATCCAACTACAGACAATGAAACAGCCAACAAAACACAACAACGCAAACAACACGCAAAGCAAACAACACCAGGTAAGCAAGCAAAACACTCACACACATACACACAGTGAAGCACACGAAGAAAACAAAACAGAAAACAAACCCTGAAGCACATCGGAGACCGGATGGCTTGGAGATGTTGTGCCCAATTTAGCCGCAACAAGATGGCATTTGTTCGGTGCGGTAGACTGTTTTTCGCTGCGTTTTCCCCAGCCGAGCCACCTCCTCTTAGCAAACCTTATCTACACTTATCAACTCAGTTGTTCAGTGACCCTGGAAAAAAAAGGGAACCCTTTTGTGGGAAGACCATTTTAGTGGGGCAGCCACCAAAACAAGGAAAAAGGGGGCCACTGAACAACTGAGTCAATCTAGGGATTCGCCGTTTACATGAGCCACGGTCACCCAACATTCAGTGAGTCCTCTAGTGTTTGTAGAACATTGTACAAGTCTTCCTTGCCCCTCCCAAATGAACCATAGATTGAACAACATGACCAATACAGGGATATTCCAACCTCCACTCCCCCTCAAAAAAATACAAAACAACGCAACAAACACGTCACACCAACGGTGGCGGTGCGCTTTGCCGCTGTTGTTCTTCGCCGAGGAGCATGTGGCAAGCCTTCTCCTGAAACCGCCGGATGGAGGAGGAGACCAAGGTCGCCACGTAGGCGGCGTACGAAAGGCCCAAGAAAACGGCGAAGGCCAACATGCTGCGGAAGGTGGTCGTGTCGCAGCCCACCTTAGCCAGAACCAGCTGATTCTTTGGTTTGGAAGTTGGCCAGTTCCAAAGCTTAGGGTAGAGGTTCAAATCCTGGATTCAGGGCCAGCCGTTGACAACCGTGGAGAGTTCACATTCTCAATCAAAGCAAACTTGGTTCAGGTTGTCAAGAATGGTCTCTTTTTGGGACCTACCTTTTAAGGGATGCCAAAAACCACCCCTCGTTTGGGCAACTTTGAGTCTGACTCACGAGTCCAACGATCACTCATTGAGCCCAATGCCAAAGCCCAGCAGCACCAATCCACCATATCCCGGGTGGACCCACATGGAGTTCAAGCGGGCACCAAATAGGCTCAAACCTCCCCCCGCCGGTAAGGGAACCCGAAGCAGCCCGTTTGAGCAGTTCAGCTTCCCTCTAATTTGTGGTCTGGTGGTTTGGAGGTTAGACGCGGTTTCCCATTTACGGTCTACAAGGACCGGCGGTTCGAACCACCAATGGAAATCACCAACTAAGGGCTGAGTAGCGGTTTACATATGTAACAATCTGAGGGCTTTTGTATTACACCCTGGATTACACCCTTGGGAAATGACCCAGAATGGTTCAACATAACACGGTTTTATCCGGACATGTGCCTGAATGGGGTCAAGACCCATTGGGTGTATTCCCAGGGTGTAATACAAAAACACTTATATAGAAACAAAAGGCCCAACCCTCTCTTGGCTAAGCAAGTCTACGAAGTGAGGTAAGGTTGCGACCAGTGACCCGAACGGTGGGACAAAACTTGGGGTGTCCATAACAGCAGAACCCACATACACACACAAAACAAAAAAATAAGCAGACTGTGAAACGCGTGTGTATGGGGGGAATGCGGCTCCAAACCCAAACTTGGGAACCCAAAGATTTTGTTACAGGGAGCCCAAAGACCCGAAAAGACCGCTATCCCCGTGGACGACTGCGTGGGATTTGTTGCCCAAGAATCCGTCGGATCACTTGCCATGGGACCTAACTCGAACGGAAAAACCTCTGGCCCTTGCGGTGTCAAATGGCCAACAGCGCCAAGGGAAATCACTGGACAAATTTGAGAAAAGCCGGGGGGTCCTGGTAATTGGTCTTGGGATTCTGCTTTGTCCCCGAACTTCAGAATCAAATCCAGGAAAAATCCCTCGGTGGCTGCATGGTGGTTGTATACCCCTTTTCTTCCGGTTCTTACTGGATCCCAGCTACTACTTCAGAATATCAGGCAACCCTCAGCGTTTTCCTTTTAGTCCTTAAGGTGAGCAACATTTTGGTTACTGTGAATGGAATCACAGTGTTTGATTGATTCTCCAACCACTTTAAGGGACCTTGGCGGTTCTGCTTTAACCCAACGCGCAACGGCCCACCTCGGGAGCTGAGACCATGATGGGGGGCCGGAAGTCCGTGTCGCACTCAGCCACCGTCATGAGTGAAGTCACAGTGGAGACCAACAGCCTAGCACCAAAGCCATGCCACGGGGCGATGTTTCTGTTTTTTCCATGGTTTGTTTGGAGGGTGCCCTTTTATGGCTTATATTTAGGACAACCAAAGGACACCGTCATTTGGGGTGGAACCCGGATGGCTCTTGATCCTTACGATATAAAAGCCAGGCTTCCTTGGCTTTTTCCTGAAAGGAATCGATTCCCATCCTTCCCACCCCGAAATTGATTCCCTACTTTGAGCCCTCAAGCTACCCTGCCCCAAAGTTGTGGTTTTTCACAGGCAGGGAGCCTGCTTGACAATGGAACAGTATATAAACCCTTGGCATATGGCTAACATCTCCGTAATTGAAATTAGACAAACAACTCGCTGGTGGCTTCCTCTATGGAATCCCTGGCGAACGGCAACGGTCAAGTGGAAGTGGAAAAAGAAGCATCCTTCAATCGATGGCAGCGACAGCGACAAATCGATATCCGGTTTTACATGATTCTTGTTTTTTTCAAAAGCTTCCCCTTGGGTTTTGTGTGGGCGTTTTGAGGCTGATCGTGGCGCCGATTTCTGGGAATGAGAGGCAGATTTCATGCTCATGTTTTATGGCCCCAGCCTGCCAGTTGCAATCCTTGGAACCCGTTTTATGGCCACTCCGAAGAAGGGGAACAAACAACTCCACACTGAGCACTACAAATAGTTGCTCTCCTCTTTGTTGTCCCTTCCAAACTTGAGTCTTCCAATAGAAGACCCCATCCCAATGGTTGGCTTCCATTTTGCCTTGAACTATGGGGAGTATTCCTATTTAAACAAACCCAATCCACACTTGTTCATGGCAAGGCGAGGTGAATATCTTCATGTACCCTCCCCAGAAAAAAAAAGAAAGCTTTATACGCTTTCCTGGTCAAGCGTTTCTCCTGCGATCGGTCGGTCCCTCCGATTTGCTTGCCCCGAGGCAGATTGATCACTTGCATCTGAGCCGTCGCCCAGGCTTTCAAACGTTCTTCTCCATCCTGAATCTCAGGCGGTCGGGGCTCAAATCAGTAGACATTGGGTTGTGCGGGACTCTAAAACCAGATTCGCGATAAACAAATGGAGTACCAATTGAAACATGCGAACCCTGCTTTGTGTAAGACTCTCTCTTCGGGTGCGGCTTGCTTTTGCATATATATATATATATACATATATATTTTTGTGGTGGCGAGGGGAGGTCGTGGTGAGGTTCCTTGCCCCCACGGAACTGGTCATGCTGACGGCCATTTAGAGCTACCTTTTCGGCTCTCACAAGGATGACCAAACCAGTTTGCACTCCACAGCATTGCCTCCAGCTTTCCAACATCGAACGCAAACTTCCGGGAACCCAAAAGGGACCGATCATCCTTGGCCAAGAAACACAGAGTTTGCAAAGAAACACGCAGCCTAGCGGAGAAAAAACAAAAACAAACTCCGCAAAAAACACCGTAGCCCAGCGGCCGCGGGAGAGATTGGCACTTCTGTTTTGTGTTGGTTGACTCTAGACTCAAGGAACACTCATCACCGCCCACACCAAAAAACTGACAAACGGAATTGTCCCGCCAGGCAACACGTATCTCAGCTCTGATTCAGATATCAACTTTCATCACTTTCAAAGGCAAAGATGTTTCGGATGGTCAAAGACTATAGACATTTGGTTCATCATTTCCGTTTTTCATTTGGGTCCCAAACGCTGACCTTCAATGAGAAAACACAACTTTCCTCCTTGGTCAAGCGCAGCACCACGTAGAGGAGCGCCAGAATGCAGCAGGGCACCAAAGGCTCCGTGAGGGACTTGAGGATCCGAGCGTTGCCAAAGCCCAATACGCAGTCCAAATGCATCGAGTCTGTGATGGGACCTCGGACTTGGCCTTTGGACCTTCGCACCTTCTGATCCATCTTTCCCCAAACGGCGAAGAATTGGGGTTCTAACTTGAGGCTTAAAGAAGGGGAAAATGTGACGCTGGCTCAGGGGTCGTGCTTCCCGCTTCTCTTCCTGTCTCCCAGTCAAAGGCCGAGATGCCAGATGCTGTGACACCCGCGCCGGGGTCTTGTCTCCCTTATGTCTCCCTCCTGTCTCTCAGTCTCTTTGGTTGCTGAGACGCCGGCCTTGTCTCCTCTTGCCCGCTGTGTCCTGCATCCACTGTGACGCCGGCTCGTCTTGTCTCCCTCTTGTCTCCCTTTGTCGTCCAGATTGTTGCCAGTCACGCCACATGCTCTCTTGTCTCCCATTGTTTCCCAGGCTCTGCGTGCCGGCTGTAAGCTGTGGGGCGTTGTCCCTCTTTGTCCCCCTCTCTCTGCTCATGCCAGATGCTGCGCCGCGCCACATGCTGTGACGCCGGCTCCGGCGTCTCCGCTGCGTGCCAGATTCCGCTTGTCTCGTCTCGTCTTTCTTTAGTCATATTTGTGTAACGCTGGTTGCCTCCCTTTATCTTCGAGTCTCTCTGGTGCAGGCCAGGTGCTCATGTGTTGGGCGTTTATCTATGAGTCTCTGGTCACGCCTTCCGGCTATGCCAAATGCTGCTGTGACGCCGGCCTGGTTCTTTGGTCGTGCAGTGATTTTTTCGGCTGGTCCTTTTGTCTCCTAGTGCCGGCTCTCTACAGACATCGCCGTGCGGCTCGAAGGGCTTGTGTCCCTTGATGTCCCTTGTCTCCCCTTTTTCGTTGTGTCTCCCAGTCTCTCTGGCACAGGTGTAAGCGTGCTGGGCGCGGGCACGGGGGTCGTGTCGCCCACTTGTCTCTTGCTTTTTCCCAGTCTCCTCAATCAGATGCCACGCTGTGTCTGCGGGCGATGCGATGAGGCATGGCCTGCGCACAAGCCTAAGCGCGCAGAGGCGCGCGCGCAAGGCGTGTGTGCGCGCAAGGCTCCGAGGTCTCTTTGTTTGTCCCGTCCGGGAGTCGCGTGTCTCGCTTGTTTCCCTGTGTCTCAAAACCATTTGTTCTGTGTGTTGCGCCTGGCTCGCGCGCAATTGTAAGCGCGCAGAGCGCGGCAAGGTGTGCGCAGGCCGCGCGCAGGGTCGCTTCTCCCGCTTGTTTCTCGCTTTTTGTCAGTCTCCTCGGTCATGCTGCGACGCCGGCTCCCACTTGTTTCCTTGTCTCCCAGTTCTACTAGGCCGGCGCCATCGTCTTTGCACCCGCTAGGCGCGTCCGGTTGTTCTGCGGTGTGTTGGAGCCCCCGTGCAGCGCGCGAGGCTCCCGGGGTCGTCTCCTCGGTCAGATGCCAGATGCTGGGACGCCGGCTCCGGGGTTGCAGTTTGTTTGCGCGTGGCCTGCGCGCAAGCGTATCTGTTTTTTATAGCTGTTTTTTCTCTTTCTTTATCTTGTCTTAATCCCTTTTTCATCGTGTTTCACATTTTCCTTGTATTTTTCATAGCTTAGCTAACGCCTACTTCACGAAAAAGCAGCAGACTGACCAAGCAGGCCAGTGACAGGCCCTGAAAAAGGCAACTCAGAAAAACCAAAACAACCACACACAATAAGCAAACTAGAAGCTCTGTGGAAAAATCCTACTTCACGAAAAAGCAGGCCGGTGGCAGGCCCTCAAAAAACACAAATGCACCAAACAGACACGAAAATCCACAGCCCAACATAGCCCAACAAGCCAGTGATAGGCCCTGACAAAAATCCAACTGCGCAAAAACGTGCCAACCACACACACCAAGCAGACTAGAAGCCCAATGGAAAATCCTACTTCGCGAAAAGCAGCCCGCTGACCAAGCAAGCTGGTGACAGGCCCTGAAAAAAGACAACTGCACCAAAAAAGGCAGCCACGCCACAATGATTAAACCAGCGAGCAAATTAGAAGATGTATCTAAACAAATCAATCTTCACGAAAAGCAGCAGCCAATCCAGTGACAGGCTGTCGAAGAAACCAACTGTAAACAAAAACATCATGCACACACGACAAACAAAATCCAGCTGTGCTGTGTGTCTTCGAGCTCGAAGAGCGAGGGCAACCCTGCACCCCAAGGCCTGCATCACCTGCGCACAGGCCGGCCCAAACACTTGCACCCCAAAACATCCCCGGCCTCCCTGGCCTTGCGGCGGGCTTCTGATGCCACGCAAAGAAACACTGTAAATACCGTGCAAATCGCCCCGGACAGTCGCCAGCACTCCGCCAACATCCTCCGCATCCTCGAAAACTTCGCCAGCATCCCCGGCATTCCTGCATCACCAGCATCTGGGCGTTCCAGCATCCCTTACATCTGTTGCATCCCCTGCATCGCTCAAACCCTTCAAAAATGGCCGGCGGTAGGCGGACATGGCGGGCAAGTCTGCGATCGAGTGAGCGGTCTTTCTTGCGCGAGTGCGGCCGCCACCACTGTGCAGAAAACATCGCGCATACCGTGTTTTGCATCATTGTTCCACGGGTTTCTGCGGGGCTAGGACGGGCTGCCGGGGATGCATTTTTTGGTCTGATTGGCTTTCGGTGTGAGGCCCGTGCGGCGCGGGCGCGCGCCGGACGCAAGCAGGCGCACAAGCACTCAAGCTAGGGTGGGTGAGCGCATGATCAGTGTCAGGGGGGTTGGGCAAACAACCTTGCAGCCTGTTGCTCGTGTGGGTTCGCAGCGTGCGCGTGCTTGGGTGGGCGCATAGTGTGTGCGGCGGGCGGCGTGGGTGGGTGGGGGCAATGTGTCCGACCGGCCAGTGCAGCTGGTCATGGCGAAGCCCTAGGATAGAAGCCCTACCACAAAATTCCCACTTCATGAAAATCAGCGGCCCGACCAAGCAGGCCAGTGACAGGCCATGAACAGATCCAACTGCGAGAAAAACAACCCGTGAACTGTTTGAACTCCCCAAGTACAACAACATCACTTTGGGCCTGATATTTTGAACTTGTTAAACTTTGTTGAACTACTCAAGTAAAGAACCGTCACTTTGGGGGCCCGGAACTTTGAACTTGTTCAATTCCTCAAGTAAAGAAACATCACTGTGGGGACCCGGAATTTTGAACTTATGGAATTCCTTAAGTAAAGAAACATCACTTTGGGGGCCCGAGGTTTTGAACGTGTGATTTTGATGATCTCCCAAATCAGGACTTAGGGTTTGAGGGACCCTGGTTTTCGACTCTTTGTTTGTCGTTAAAACTCCACAAGGACTCAGATTCGAGGCGCCCTGGCTGTTGGACCTAGATAGTTTCCAAGTAAAAAAGCATGACTTGGGCGACCCAATTCCAGCACCTTCCACCAACCCACCTCCAAACCATCAACCCGAACTACATGAAACAACCCCCCTCCAAAACTAAATGGAGAAAGCGGCCCCCTCCAAACTACCAACCCAAACAAAATGAAACAAACGGCCCTCCAAAATACAAAATAGCCAAACTACGGCAAATGACCACCAACACATCCACGCAATCAACCCAAACTAAATCAACAAGTGGCCCCTCCAAAGCAGCGACCCAAACTAAATGGAGAAAGCGGCCCCCTCCAAACTACCAACCCAAACAACCGGAATCAAACAGCCCCTCCAAACTGCCAACCCAAACTAGCCCCCTCCAAACCATGAACCCCAACTAAATGGAAAAAGCCGGCCCTCCACACAACCAAAACTAAATGGAGACAGCGGCCCCCTCCAAACTAAACACAATCGTATTATATTATATAATTTAGCTTATTTGTATCTTGTTGTTTATCAGTGTCTATCTTGTTTATCTGTCTGATTATTCCATTTTCTTTTTGTATGTTGCTATCTTTTTGGATCTTCACTATCTCCCTATACAAAGAAACAGTAGATAGTAGGAGAGCGCAGCGCGCTTTGGGCGCCCATCTTTCATGAGATCACGCTTGCCGTGGCAACATTCACCTTCTCAGAGATAGAGAGAATTGGGAAAGACACGTGCTCCAAAAAGTAGTTCTTATATCTTCATTTTTTCGCCCGACCCTTTACATTGACATTTACACGTGTGTGTGTGTGTATGCATTTATTCCCCGAACAGCAAAGCATTGGCGTTCTAACTTGAGACTTAAAGAATGGGAACGTGTGAAGCTGGCTCCAGGGTTGGGTGCTCTGCTTCTTTTTCACTTTCTCTCCGGTCAGATGCCAGAAGTTAAAGGAAGTCGTAAGGGATGCTTCAGTTCGCGGTCATTGCCTCATGTGCCTACATTTTACACGACTCTGGTAACATGTTCGGAGGGCGTAATGAAACCACCATCCAAAGCCTTACCCTGTTTAACCAGGTTCCCTCCGTTTCTTCTCTCATTCCCTGTTTTATGTCCACGCCGGCTTCATGCGGGGTGCCCTTCTTCTAATCAGAGCAACCCCCTAAAACAGTTCATTTCTTAACTAAAAGGGAATCACCCCTGATTAGTACGGTCCTAGGCTCCCAATGTTGAGTCCCTCATGTGTGTGTATTTCTGTTGCGGCTTCCCTTTGGTTCAAAGGGACACAAGGAACTTAACCAACATGTTCGGCCAAAAACCACCTTCCGATTTTGACACTAGAGATTGGGGCCTCTTCTTCCCTTGGATCCGTGTGATTTTTGCTTCGCATCTGAATCGCTGAAGACTTTCCGAGGCGCTGAGGTCCATCTCCACGAAGGTCAGAGGCTTCGCCTCGATGCGCTCCGCGGACTTGGGCACCAACTTGCTGAGCACCGCGAAGAGTTGGTACACCTAACAGCAACGGGGCCCGGCGACTCACCGGCAAAAACCTGGCAACGGGGAAAAAGGGAAAGCAAACAAAAGCCTGCCCCCAAAATAGTAGTGACCCAAACAATACGGGACAGCAAACCTCAAGACAGTGGCCTAAAAATGAAAACCTGACAAGCTTGTAATCAACGACTCCATTAAGTCTATGAGAGTTGCTGATGGAGCAGGAATCTTGGACAACGGGAAATCCGAGACCTGCACGCCCAGCCACGTTCTGCAAAATCATGTCTGGCCTTTGGCCCGCCTTGAACATGAAGCAACAAAGATAATATGAGAGGTTTCCAGGGAGCTTTGACAATGGGTCTGGAGCACTAATGAGCACTTATTTTACCTTGACGCCGAATACGGCTGGGACAGACAAGTGAATTGAAAGAGGAGGAAAGATGAGTTTTGACCATGGCAAATACAAAACCTGGAAACGCAGATTTTGGCGGAGCGTGCTGAAGAGGAAATATGGGGGCACTCTGACAGCTCTCACATAGGTGTTTGTCAAACTAAAGAACCTCCAGGTAGTTGAGGTCCTTTTGGTTCCCTTCAACTGCAACCAACAAATGGTTCACCAGTTCACATTTATGATGTTTCACCCTCCAGACAAAAGGGAGAAACAAAGAGAGGACATTTCCAATTTGGGTGACCTTGCACTTCCTAGTGGCGTTGTTGCAACAAACATAAATAGGACCAACTCTAAACTTCACAAGCCTGCACTGCCGCCAGCAACTCCCGCACCAGGTACGGCTGCAGGGCGTCCCAGGGACCAGGCGGCTGCAACAGGTCACTTCGGTAGGTCTTCGGTCGAGAAAAGAAGTAGCCAGCGCCTTACGACCGTTCCAGGCAAGCCATGATAGGTGACATGGTAGACTATTGTTCTTCCAATCAGTGCCATCGCTGTTGTGTTTCTGTTTAATATTTAGCCTAAGGGAGGAGACCCCAACTAAGGAGAAACTGAAACTGGGAATCCCTTTGACAAAATCCGCCGACATTGCTCGGGGTGTCAGCCACCTAAGAGAGGATAGAGAATAGACAGAGAGCGAGAAAGAGACCTATATATATATATATATATATAATGAGAAAATGAAGCACAAACAGGAAAACAACAAGAGAACAAGTGAAAAAGCAAAATAAGGGAAAACAAAACGAGACAAAGAAAAAGGAGAGAAACATAAAGAAAGCAAGAGAGGCAGGAAAAAGGGCGAAGCATAACAGACATAAAGAAACAAAGGACAGAAACTGAACAAGGAAAAATAAGGAGAAGGAAAGAACAAAAAAAAAAAAGAAAGAAAGAAAGAACCTAAAGTCAGAAAGAGACAGCCCAGGAAAGAAAGCAAGAACAAAGGAAGGAAGGAAGGAAGGAAGGAAGGAAGGAAGGAAGGAAGGAAGGAAGGAAGGAAAACAAAATGCAAGAAATGAACGAAACGAAACAAAAACAGAGAGACAAACAAACAAATAAAGACAGACATCGACAAATATATAAAGACGTTGACAGTTGACAGTGTGATTTTACCTGGGGTTGACATTGCTACAAGGGCTGATCCTTGCAGAGTTTCGCAGGCTAAGACGGGCTATGGCACAGCTTCTACGCATACAGCAAAAGGGCTTGCAGGCTGGCAAAAGGGCCTGCGGAGAAAGAAGCACTGAAGGGACGGAGTGACCTGGGGCTCAGAACGTCCAAGAGCCAGCGCTCAGCAGCAACCACCTGCAAGAACGGCGGGCCAGCAAGGCAAACAACAACACGTCAGCAAAAGTGCCAGGTGCTGGGGCTCCATTGAGAAATCACGCTGGGAGCCAGGGCAACCGATGGATTGGAGGGCTGTGCGCAAGCTGGCCCACAGCGGATGCATTGATGGTTGCATGCCTGAGCTGGCAAGAGTTCAGCAGACACGAAGGCAGCATGGTGCTTCAGATGGTGTGCGCCACACGGGCAGGCCGGAGCGTAATTGCCCTGTGAACACAAAGAAAGAAACAAACAAACAAAGAAAAGCAGAAAGAACAAATGAGAAAAAGAAAGAAACAAGCTGAGGGAAACAAATCAGGTGATATCCCAACAACATGCGGCGCTCTTCCTCCACCTTCGCGGCCTACAAAACCTTACCGGTAGCTGCCAAACCACCCCGAACCCCTCGCACCCTGCGGAGCCTTTGCGGAGCCTGCGCAACCCTCGCGGAACCCTGCAGAACCTTCACAAACCTTCCTGAACCTCCGGATTGTTGATTACCTCAAACCTGCCTGCAGACCACCCCGCAACGTCGGAACCTGGCTTCCTTGAACCTTACAGTTGGCCTGCGCCAGACGACCCCGCAACCTCAACTCCTTGAACCTTACTGGCCAAAGCCTCCGGAACCTTCAACCTTACTGGCTTGCGTCAGACCCAGAACCTCCGGTACCTTCCTTCACACCAGGCGATGCGCCTTGGCATGCACCAGTACAAACTTATCTGGGCTGAGACCCCTGACCTTTCAGCTGTTCAAAATAGAAGGGGGAAATATGCGTGCTCCAAACTAGAGTTCTTAGATTCCTGAAATTTTGGCCAGCCGGCTTCGCCGGCTTTACCGGACCTTTTTTGGAAGGCAAGCCTATTTCTGACAGGCCTACGTCAAACAAGCCAAAAGGAGGGGCTGATGGAGGTGGCAGTTCTGCAGCTTTCAGGGCGAAGGTGGTACGCTACAAACAGGGCCACCTGCCAAGCAGCCGTCGGCACTAGCGAGATAATCGGAGCCTATGTTGCAAGTTGGGCATTGAGCGGAGCCCAAGAGCACTAAACCCCCTTTGCCTGGCCCGGGGTCCAAATCACTTTGCCAGGTTCTTCTTAAATCTACTGCCAAGAAAATAATGGTTTTGAACAAAGGCTCCGACCAAAATCAGGCGGGTCGCCAGCAGCCAGGACCACCATCAGCACAACTACGCTGGCAATGGGCTTGGCGTATGCTTTGAGCTGTTCAGTGGTACACCGCTGGCCTCGGACGGGGCGGGGCGCCAAAACATCTGGATCTCTGCGATGAGGGCTGGGACACCAATCCGTGCGCTTGCATCATTCGTATACACATGTATATATATATATATCTGTACATATATATATATATATACATTGCAATTGTCCCGCTTGCGTGCTTGAATTGCATCCTCAAGCGTTTCTCGGAGGTGGCGCCTTCTTGGGTCTTAAAGAGAAAGCTAGAAGGTACATGAAGGTACCTGCATTTTGCAACATACTCGTTACCCACATCGCCTTGTGACCTCAAGGACAAGGGGAATTGCCCACAAGGGGAGTCACCCAAATTGAGGTGGCATCAGGCGCTTTGTTCGCTTCCTCGCTGGGGCCGCGGCAGTGGCCGCTCCGCTGGAAGAAGTTGGCGCGGCAGACCCGGCACTTGGGCCCCTCGTGCCCAACGCGACACATTTCGCCTCGCGGAGGAAAAACAACGCGCCTGGGAACTCTCCCTGTTATCAAAGGAACCTTGGTTGGACAACTTTTGCAAATACGAAAAAAATGAGGCAACAGAGTCGCACAATGAAACTGCCACAGTAAAGTGAGCAATAAATACAAAGAAGGAGATAGATAAGGAAGGAATTGTGTGGCAGGTGAAGCATGCTCAGCGCACGGCTCGCTGCGGTTTCGGTGCATCCCTGTAAATTGCGTGGCAGGCGCAGCGCTTTGGCGACCTGAGGTGTAGATTTTGTGGCAGGCGCAACATTTTCCCCATGGCCTGAACTCGCGACAGGCATGGTCAAAAGATGAAACCAAAGCTATGTTGAGGTAAAACAAATACAAATGTCAAATTATGGAGCCAATGGCCCAAGCCGAAAAATGAAAATAAAACGTAAAAACAAGCAAGTGAACAACCATTAAACCGAGGTCAGACCAATTTGCTTCAGAACCATGGTTTAAAACATTATTCTAAAATCCGAGCGGACCCTCCGGCAAAATCGCCAGCTAATCGCTTGCACGGGCGCGCGCGCGCTGACACGAGCACACTTACACAACCGCACTTGCGCGAGCCCAAATTGCACCGGCACACTTGAGTGGTGAGTCGCACTCCCATGAAATTTGCATTGATGATCCTCCGCGAAGCTTCCGCCAAGAATTCGTGCGCGCGGTTTGCTGGTAAACGCGCCTGGCAACTACCACCCGAACGAAATCAAACTAGTATGTGAAAATCAGCAACCCGCCTTCCGCGCTTCCGCAGTACAAAGCCTTCCGCAAACCTTCCGCAGCTGCAGCGCGGCACTACCTTTTTTGTTGATATTTCAACATCTGTGCATGTTTGCTTGAGCGGAAAATAACAGCCCCTCACTTGCGCAGGCTCACTTGCACGAGCGCGCTTGGACGAGCACACACTTGCACAAGCGCACTTGTGCACTGCGGCACTTGCGCGAGCACTCTTGCACGACCACGCCACACTTGCACTTGCACGAGTGCACCTGTACGCGAGAGCACTTTCACAAGCGTCGGACTGGTCGATGGAGAAGAACTGTGGACGTGTGTCTTCTTTGACTTGCCTGAGCCACCCTCTGCAGGGATCCGCGTGTTCAAATTGTTCAAAACTGCCAGCGCGTGCTACTTTCTTTTGTGCTCGCGGATGAGTCGTCAGAAGTTGCCAGCACAGGATGCGGTATGCGCAGAAAGTGAAGCGTGATCAGAGAAGGACACACATAAACACGTGCGCTCGCTTGCGCCACCAAGCACGTGCACAGTGCAACTTTCAAAGAACACTTCAGCAGAGCGTTGGAGCGAAGTCAGTTGCACACTTGCACGGGCAAACTCGCACGAGCACACTTGTCCGAGCTAGCTATTTTTTGTAGCATCTTCTGACCATACCTTTCCTTACAAACAGGAAAGAGGTAGGCGCACATACTATTGCTAAATGCTATGTTTCACATACGCAAAGTTCCAGGATTTCATGGAGCTTGCCTACATGAGAAAAAAAACAGACAGTTGTGCTGCAAGTGCCTCGGGTCAAGCGCAACAGTTTTGCTGGATTTGAACGCGCAGGCTGCGGTCTTGTGACTATTTTTGCTGCAGATGTAAAGCAGAGGGCTTGCATATCATCACGGCAAGAAGCAAATGCATATCTTGGATAATGCGCCTTCAGTATAGACAAAAGCCAACAAGTGAGCTGAAGAAAAAGCTGTCTATCAACAGAGTAAAACATTCTGACAGAAGATAGAAGTCTAACTCAACAATTCCCTTATTTAGTTATATGTGTTTTCTGGTTAACGTTGATGTTCATTTAACATCACATGTGAAACCACATTCTTCCTTAATCGCCAGCCAAAGTAAGATATTGTGCTTGAATCCGTTCCTTATTAGACTTTACACCCCTATTGGTTTAAGGAGCCTTGTCAACAGCCTTGAAAGAGGCTTTGTACTGAGCTTTAAAAGGAGCTTTACACGGAATTTTAGAAAGGAGAGCTTGCAAGCAGTCCACAGGCCTTATAAGGCGGAGCTTCCTGGGGAGCATTGTGAAGACTTATTAAGCGCATGTAGCAAGCAAGTAGCAGTGAAGGAGCTTGTCACACACAGCTGTGCGACAGAGCTTGTGTGGCAGGGTTCGGACAGCGCGCGGCCCGAAGCTTGAGGCGGGAGAGGCTCCCACCAGTGGCCGGGCCAGGACAGCTACGACAGCTTGCGGGAAAAAGCGTGGTATGTCGTTAGGCGGGGATCGTTCGAAGTAAAGTGACTGTTTTTGCATGAAATTCCATCTCCAGAAAACCTTCAAACAGCAACAAGGGGTGGATCCCAGGAGGGGGGGGGGCAGCATTCAGCGTGCCCAGGATGGGACCCAACTGCTTTCCCCATGACCAACCCTCCAGTAGTATTGCATGTAACATGTATGTTCCCCACACCTTGGCTCACAAGGGTGCACAGAAACCCATATTTTCTGACTCTGTTCCATGTTTGGTCAACCATAAAACAAAAGTCCTTGGTTCCGTTTTCCAGGGCAACCCATTTTGGGGTGACCCTTGGTTTGACAACCACAGCCATTTCAGGAGATATTCGCCTCACTCGCGCCAGCCTGGCTTTCGCCCATGGCATCCGTTCAAGGCGAAGCGCGCAAAGCGGTCGCAGGAGAGCGGCGCCTGCGCCCCCTGACGCCAGTAGCCGTCCTCAGGGCGTTGAGGTCCAGGGAAAATCAGTTTGTCAGAATTCAAGGTCTACAAGTGGTTGGTGTTCCTCGTTTCAATCGAAAACCGACCCAGCAGCTCCGTGTTTTCACTGGAACCACCCTGGGCCCCATCCACCAGAATGGTTCGATCAGAACCCCCTCAACCATTGAAGAAGCATTCCAAAATTCACCCAGTTCACGAGAATGTTTTGTAGATGAGCTGGGACATGATAGAATGTTTAGCATGCCAGGGCAAAAATATGGAAGGGATGGGTTCGGTTTCAGTACGGCATTTGTTGTCAGTGTTCACAGTGTCCGGAAGGAAGGGACCCGCAACTTTGGCCATCACTCAGTGGCTAGTTGGGCCAGGAGAGGACAAAGAACATACTCTGAAACACCCGCGCATGTCATGAGAACTAGGAAGAGCGACGTCGGACAGTTCAGACGTGCAACCAGCGATTGAAGAAGACGAAGCAGCTAGGTCCCTTCAATATATCGACAAAAGCAACTCCGATCTGCCATTTTCGTACCTGTAAGCAAGTGTGCGTGAATCTATGAATGGAAGGAAGTTTGCAAGAACTTGCGCGGTATGGATGTGTTCAGCAGTCCCTGTTCTCCAGCAACCATCTGCAAGTCACCAAGCCAGCCAGCTATGCAATCAACCTTTGTAGTTGACTACGCAAATCTACCAAATAACTGACGAAACAAAGAAACTCACTGAGAATCTAACTCACAAACTGGCCCCACACAACTAGCTGCCTAGCTGGCAGGCCGAATAGAACATAACTAGCCTTCTAGACTGTCTCAGTACCTAGCCAAGTAAAAACCGCCACGTGAGTCATTAGGAAACAGACCGAGTTCACCTATACAAACAAAGTAAACCCACCAAAAGAGTGAACAGCGACCAACGAATTAGCTGGCGCACTAGCTCGTGAAATGATTAGATCTGTTGGCATGCTCACCAAAACACAACCACATGCGATGCAAGACACTTGCTGTCTCCAGACGGGCCAAATAGTTAATTCAAACATTGGCATCTTTCTGCAACTTGGGCATGATTTTTATTGGGGGACTTTTTGGACATCATTTAGGTGGTCAACCAACCACTTTTGAGGGGTTCTAAATTAAATTGCAATCATAGCCATGTCAACAATTCTCACACATGGAATCATATGGAATCCCACTCAAGATTCGTCATGGCTTTCACTCATCTTTCCCCTGGTCATCTCGCTAAGGTTGCAGTCTTAGGACTTTGCGGAAAAGACCTCTTTTTTTTACTGGCACAACTCTGGGGTACGCAGAAACTCATATGACTCCCATGGTTCTGCTTCATATCTTGAATTTAAAATATGCAGCGCCGGAGCACCTTCGAGCTTCGGGTGTTTGGCTCCGGCAACCAGGAAATACTCATTTCTTTTTGTCTGAGAATGGGGCATCGGTTCGAAACCCTCAACACATTCCCACTCGGGTCCTTGACCGGCGCGGAGCGCAGGGTCAAGTTCGGCGTGGTGCAGTTCAAGGCGTAGCCCCCCGGTAGATCGGTGCACAGTGCGCAGTAACTGGCCTGCCGTTGATTCATTTCTGATCCAGTGGACTGGCCAAAAAGTCCACAATGTCTGCCAAGATAACTCGGTTGCTTTCTGCTCCCCTGCTAGAGGTTTAACTTTTAGTGGTTTAATAGAAAACCCATTAGTTGGCAAACAGTTAAAGTCCTAACATCCAAGCAACATGCACCAAAGATAGATCTTCCCAGAAAGCCGAAAGTCCGGAAATCCGGGGGGTGGGCAAAGAAGCACACCTTCGAAGGGGACACCCAATGTGAGTGGTTCCGCTAGGGACAGCAAATGCGGTTGCTTGTACATGAGTGGTTGAAACATGGGGACCTGTCGAAACAACTGTGCAACTTCCAAACATCGCTTCGGAGCTGCTGTTCATTCCCCGTTTGAGCAACCTTAAAGCGGATACCAACATTTTTGCTTCTGTTTTTTTTCCGGGCTCACCCCTTGTTTGGCTTGATTTGAAGGGAAACCTCAAAACCACAATTGTGGAAAGCTGGATTTTACAGACTTCCCCATATTTCCCCGAATTTGGTGGTTTTTGACATCCTGAGTTTGGCATGAGTTTCCTCTTGGAAACAGAAAACCATCTGTCAACGCCAAACCCACCTAGTTTTAGGCGGTTTGCTGTTGGCTTCCTTTTGAAGGGTACCCTCAAACAAATCAGAAACCCACGTGTTACAGTCCAGCCTTCATGACGTAGCCGGCGCTGCAAAAGCACTCGCTCCGAGTCTGGGCACCTTCGCCCTGAGGATTCGGTGGCGGGACATCTTTGAACCCAGTTCTTCCAGTTGCGTTTTGCCACTTGAGTAGATAACCATCCCTGTTTGCCAACCATTCTTTTTGGTTGCTTCTTTGTGGAACCTTGTTTTAACCCTCCAAGCCTTTCGTTTCGCATGCTGCCGTTTTGTTAACCCTCCCCTACTCTTTGCGTTGTTTCTTTTCATGTTGAAGTGAAACCAAGGAATACAAGCATGTTGGGTGTGTGTGTGTGTGCTTTTGCAGGGTACCTGGCTCCTCACATTACCCAAACACATGGGAAATCACGCATACTTGTGGCAAGAAGATTTGAGGTCCTGCTGCTACCCTGTTTGTGTGATTTTTTAAGCGGGACAGCGAAAGGAAATTACCCACAGGCACTCCGCAATTTCGAGACCCTAGTCGTTGCCTGGCCTGTCAAAGTGAAACCAACGGAGAGCAACTGGAGATTAAGTGACCATTTCAATCGCAACAAATAGGTTTGAAGCACTGCTCGGCTTTTTGTGTTGGTCTGTTGAAGTGTTTTAAGAGAACACACATAAACAAATGGTGGTGGGACAAGACCAAATTGACCTAGCTGTCAAATGAAGACCAAAATGATGTAGACCAACGTTACAAGCTTTCTCCTGTCGAAGGGACACCCCTCCAAAGAAGATCGAAACGGCAAATGGTTTGCGTGTCAACCGAGTATCAGGGCCCCTGCCTGAGTATCCTGGTTGGCCCCGCACTTCTTGCATGATATGAGGTGGCTGACTGAGTAGTCGGGGTAATACTCTTGCCTTTGGCACGGCTGACACGCGCCACCATGCTTGCTCACCTGATATCGCATGCCTGGCTCGCAAACGCGGCTTCTGTCAAGAGTCACCAAAGCGCCGGGCCAATACTTCCGCCCATCAAACACGAAGGCACGAAGCTCCGCGGTCGTGTCAGTGAATTGAACCAACTCAAAACAAGCGTCCAAATAGTCCGAGCGGTAGCCCTTGCAACGCCCCGCATCCAAAATAGGAAAGGGCAAGTTTAACTTCGGATTGGCGCGAAGATCCAGGGATAGGTTCGACGCCAGCCACCGGCCCTCGCCTTGGAAATCCACCACGTTGGAATTGACAAACCTTGGCCACACAAGATCCGCGCAAGAACCGAAACTCCCTAACCTGAGTATGGTAGCAAACAACTTTGACTTTTGCCCCCGTGTTAAACATCAACATTGAACAAAACAACCTTTAACAAAATAAACTGATGACATTGCAAAACTGAACACATGCTCAGTCGGAAGCCTGGCCAGCTTCATCTTTGGGCCCGGCAGGCCACCCAGCCAGCTCACCATCATGCCAGAGAGGTCCAATTCCACCAGGTTTTGCGCCTCAAAATGGGATTTGGACCCCCCAATTTAAAATGGCGGCTTTCCCTTTGAAATCACCCGAAAGAAAAAAAACCAAAACAAAACGGGGGGGGGGGGGGGAAACAACGGGTAAAACGGGGCGCCACGTTTTAACACCCGCGCGTTCTTCCGCTTTAGGGGGAAACATCATAATGTGTGTGTGTCAAAAGACGGAAATGCGAGGATTGGTGTCCACTTTTCCACTATATATAACCACCCGACATATATGGTGTAATTATTCACCAAAGGATGTTTGGTCTCAACTCAGGGGCCAGTTGCGAGCCCCTTGCCTTGCAGAGATCAAGAAGATGAGACTAATGGGACTATACGGCTTCCGACTTCCAAGGGTGCGGCGCACTTTTTGGAGGAACCTCCTGTTGGTTTCTGAGGGCTTTTCTTTTTTGTCCAGCATATCGGGGCGTGGCGGGTGTGGGCGCACCAAAGGGGCGCTAGTTTTTGCGGGGCTTGGGTTTGTCTCGATTGTCATTAGGTTGGCGGACATCATTGGGTAAGGCTCCGAAATATAAAATGCCAAGCCAGAGGATTTCCGTGTGGCCATTCAACGAGGCGCCCAATCGAGGAGCTGCTTGAAGCTTGAGTAGGGCATGGATGCGTTGGTGGCGTTGGTGACAATGAGCCGCACCAGGCTCCTGGGGAAGCCTTCCGCGCAGTTCCAGATGCCAGTCATGGTGGAGGCCGACATCACCAAACTCTTCAAGTTGTTGAAGTTCTTCAAGGCGTTGCACACCTGTCGAACAAAACCTGTCGAAAGGAAGACATGGCCAACATGGCTTGTCAACATGTTGCTTCCCAGTCTTGTAGCGTAAATTGCCAGGGCCTCCTCATCCGGGCATATGCACACAT